ACGACTCTGAGCTAGTCGGAACAGTGCGCCTTAACCGACGTGGATTTTCTGATCGCCTGAAAAGCACGAAGCATTTCGAGAAAAAAAGAATCGTCGGGAGACATGCGCTATGAGCGTGAGGGCGACATCATTCATGTGCAGTGGTTGGACAAAAGAGTTGTAACTGTGCTGTCCACCATGCACTCCGCCACTGAGTACACAGAGAAACAAGAAAAAGAAAAGTCAACGGAGAGTTACAGGACGGGACATGTCGCAAGCCGGTTGACATCGAACATTACAATGCAACCATGGGAGGAGTTGATATATTTGATCAACTGGCTAGTAGCTACCGTATTCTCGACAGATCAAAGAAGTTCAACAAAGTGATCTTCTATGATCTCCTCGAGATAGCCGCCATCAATGCCTATAAACTGTTTGCTGCTTGGAGAGAAGCCAATTCAGGTGCAATCAAGAGAAGACAATCCAGGTGCAATCAAGAGGCCCGTGCGCTATTCGCAATGCGAATTTCGACAGCAGCTGGTTCATCAACTCGTCAATCTGCCAATGCATTTAGCACCACCAGCTCTGGAGCATGCTATACCAACACCAGCAGCTGACTACAGACAAGTGCACTCTGCACACATTCCAGACTGTGCTGGTGAGTCTGGAAGAGCCAACTGTGTTGTCTGCTGGAAGCAGGATCGCAAGAGAAACTAGACTGCTTTCTTCTGCTCTAAATGCACCAACAGAGAAGATCATCCGGTGCGCCTATCCATTGGAAAAGGCAAACATGCTTCAGGGTGCTTCATTCACCGGAGTATGATGCTCACAGATGAACTGGTGCATGAGCTGAAGCTGAACAGAGTACATATGAATGGCTTCATTGCAAAACGCGCTAAACGCCAATCTTATGCATATGGCGTTTTCGGTGTCAATCGAATCAGTAGGGATCACTGCATCTGGTGGCCAAAAAGAATTCTCCGAAAACGAGACATATCCCACTGAAAATCAACGTTGAAGTTGACGTTCTACTGCAAAACGCGATAAACACCACCGATGTTTTCAAGCAAAGTGCGACATATCCTGTCGCGCGGGCCAGCGTGACCTGTGACAAGCCAGCGAGTGCTGGCGCAGCACGTGGCAAACATCGCGACTACAAACTGAGTCTGTGCAAAATGTCGATATCAGAGTTCAAAGTACAGTGTTTTCGTGTTGTTGCTTTGTAGCAGCTACATCTACGTTGTCATTTCGTTCTTTTTGTATTATCTTCTTCGTAGCTGTTGTTTTTCGCTTTCGAAACTGAAAAGGGCAGTATGCTAGAGGCGTCAGGGAGGGACGACGCTGCTGCTGGCAGTGCTGTTGCTGCTGAGCTCCTTCAGAGTTCTGAACTCAGTGAAGTCGTTGAACTCTTATTTTCTAATCTCATAATACTGATTAGTCCGGCGAACTGGTCTGGTTTTGCCCGAAAATAATGAAGAATCACCTTGCTTGAGAAAATGGATGGCTCCTGATTTTTGAGAAAGCCTGTATTTGCATACATCACCCTACTCTTCTCATCTGCTAAGTTAGATTTGACCCAAACCCACCCAGTTGTTGATCACAGAAAATCGCTCGTCCTGAAAATTGGTCAAAATGGATTTATCTCGTTTTGCAATGAAGCCCTTCATATTCTCATGTTCCTCGAATTTGGTAATTCGGCAGCATTGCTTGAATTATTATTCGCCATGAATGGCAACGATGTTTCATGTTATCAGCTTAGTTTTAGTCTCATATGAAAGGTAATTCTACCAGCTTCCCAGAATTATATAGGTGTCAATACAAATTATTTACCAATTATTAGTCTCTATTCTCAATCTAATAGACACCGTCATGTTCCTCGAATTTGCCAATTCGGCCGCATTGCTTGAATTATTGTTCGCCATGACTGGCAACGACGCTACATGTTATCAGCTTGTTTCTAGTCTCATATGTAAAGGTAATTCTACCCGCTTTCCAGAACTATAAATGTGTCAATACAAATTATTCACCGTTTAGTCTCTATTCTCAATCTAGTGGACACCGCTATTTTACATTATATAAATCCTGCGGCTGGAAAAGGGTTAACGGATGTTCTGTAGGAATCGGTGAAATCCGACCAAAGTTGATGGTTGGCGCCCTCAACTTGCAGACGTTTGTCATCCTAAGCAGGGTACGAATGTACCTCGCCTTGCACATGCACAAATACCAGAACTGGTGCAGGGAGATGGTGGTGCACTTAGGTTAGATTTCATTGACCACTGTACCTTGCTGTTACTCAATAGCTATATTGTGTGTGTAGGGATAGTATGGATATAAGAATAGCTATATTGTGTGTGTAGGGATAATATGGATATAAGAAAGTACTTGCTTGGTTTTTTTCTTTGTGTTTTTTTACAACTTTGCAGATCAATCTGACATGCGCAGTGACTTGGAGGGAAAAATCGGCGATGTGCAGTCAGCAGTTACTGCTGTATCAGCTACCATGGAAGGCCCTCTCAGGAAGGTGAGTTTTTGTCACATTAGTATTGTACCGTGTTTGCCAGAGTGTAGTGCGTACTTTAGATGCGCTATTTCAGGCCGCAAGTTGCTGGTGTACACTGTGCTCCGAATATAAGAATACATGCACTTTCATAGTAGTCTAATGACTATGGATCTCACTGTAGCCAAATATACCACATCTGAGTCCATGACTACACAAATCATATTCATACATGTCTGGTGTCTTTTGCCAGCTACACTGCAAATGTAAGATGTGTATGAGACCCCATATGTTACACTTGCATTTACAGATGAAATTTTTATGAAAATGTTGGCTCTGATCACACTATAGTACTGTCTTTGTAATCCAAAATGTTCTCAAATCAGGGCTGTGCATTATGCTCCGGATATATCTTGAGTTGCCTAAAAGTTGGACAAAATTTGGTCTGCGTATTATGCTCAGGTGCACATTATACTCTGGCAATTAGGGTAGTTAGTGTGTGTTAGAATGCATACTGGCATGCTTGCATTTGTCACGCACCCTACTTTAAAACCCTTTTCGTGCCAGGAGCGCATATAATATGCGCTCTGAAACTATGACGTGCTTGGCTATGAGTGCATATATGCGCAAAAAAATCGCGCATCATCACCACCTACTTCGGCATGCACATGTTATTGTTAAAACCTCAGGAGAATGAAGGAAACGTCAAGACGAGACTAAGGTTGCGCTTGGTTGACCAATTTCAGAATTTCAATCACAACCATTTTGGCACTTTCTTTGGGAACAAAAACTTCGTGACATTTTTCCCTAATGTTCGCTGATGTTCTGTCACTCGCTGTGTGGATCTGTCGGCATGAAACAGCAACAGATGACATTTCGGAACCATAAGAAGGCATAATTGGCCCAGTATCTGCAAAAATGGACCTTAGGGTGATTTTTCACAAAAAAATTCTGGTTTTGTCGTCTATAGGTATCTAGTGATCACATGGCAAAGTATTAGACCAAACAAAGCAATATTGATGACCCAGAAGCTTCTCAAGCAAGTATAGGTATATATCAGGAAATACAACAATTTATCACAGCGTTTTCCACATCGGAATACTAGTACTACCGTAGAATCCCGCGGATAAGCCCATGGGCTTATCTGTTTCACAAGGACATTTCGATGGGCTTATACGAGAACATGGGCTTGGGCTTATACGCCGACACCAAGTTGTAGGCCTTGACAGACTATGCTAATATTTTCGGGGAATTATGCTTTTCGCATTGCTGAAAAATTGCAGAATTATGCTATTTTTATGCTAAAAGTTATCATATTAGGACACCCAGAATTAATTCGTTGTTTCGGGTCACCCGACCGACCGTCTTTTTTCACCCGACCGCAATTTTTTTTTTTAGTGCATGCAAATGTGCATGACTACAAGGTAGTCTATGGACATACAGCAAGACCGGGACTTTGCCAATCAGGTTATGGTTGTAGTCAGGAGAACTATGCCGCCTCGCCTTGTAGCATGCTGTCAAAATCGAAAAAGGTAGTCTATGTACACACGCGACCCAAAATATAGCAGTCCAGACATCGATCTCAGAAGCAGCGATGCAGCACTTGGTGACGACGTTGTCTTCGATCTCCGATTCGCAATCGGTCCTGAAACAGCATCAGCTCCGCCACTGCGTCGCTCATTGACAGAAGTTTTCAAGGACTTCGGTGAGAGCTGCTCGTCAGACTCGTTTGCCAGCGAGGCCAAGATCTGGTCCTGGAGGAGACCTGGATCTGATGGGACAATGGCTACGCTGTATCGACTACAGTCAGATTTGATCGACTGGCTTGATGGAGAAAAGCTATTCGATATGCACAATTGTACATGTATGCACATGCCCGCAAGTAAAATAAAATAAAAAATAAACCCGACCGACCGACCCTGGTACGGATGAGTGAAGTGACCCGAAACAACGAATTAATTCTAGGTGGCCTTATGCCGCATTATGCTCACATATGCTGCTAGGGTATAATGGTTCTGTGCAAAATAACAGGGGAATTTTTTGTAGAGGGCGTTGTACTGTAGTAACAAAAGTTCAACGGTGTCAACACACCGTCCGACCTAGCTACGACCGTCACTGATTGTAGTGGACTGGACATGTTCTCAAGAGAGTCGTAAACCTACGACTTCAAAGTGCATCTACTTGTACTTGTATTTGTAGAACATGTACAACTGCATGGAATTTGATGGGAACAGACGGATTATTCCAATTGAGATTCATATGAAATTTGCCTTGAATTATGCGATTATTCGATTTAGGTAGGAATTGGTTGATAAATATGGTGGTGAAGACACACCTGGCAATATGGCGGTAAACACACGCCTGCCCACACACGCTCTCTAGGCTGCAAAGTTCTGGCACAGAGCTCTCCTTCTCACCACCACCACCACCATCAGTTCGCGCCTGGCGCCTGGTCGATGCATGGCTGGCGGTATCCGGCATAGCAGGCTGGTACATCAAGGAGCACATGGCACATAGATGATGACACAGCAACGACATAGCTCGATTGCGACGTACGTTTCGTCCCCGCTGGACTCATCAGGCAATCTTCTTCTTGGATGTCTTCATACGGAGCTTGACTCGGGAGAATGAAATTGAAGACACCACTGCAGCTGTACTTATGGTTGATAAATATGGTGGTAAAGACACACCTGGCAATATGCCGGTAAACACACGCCTGCCCACACACGCTCTCTAGGCTGCAAAGTTCTGTCACAGAGCTCTCCTTCTCACCACCCCCACCATCAGTTCGCGCCTGGCGCCTGGTCGATGCATGGCTGGCGGTATCCGGCATAGCAGGCTGGTACATCAAGTAGCGCATGGCACATAGATGATGACACAGCAACGACATAGCTCGATTGCGACGTACGTTTCGTCCCCGCTGCACTCATCAGGCAATCTTCTTCTTGGATGTCTTCATACGGAGCTTGACTCGGGAGAATGAAATTGAAGACACCACTGCAGCTGTACTTATGGTTGATAAATATGGTGGTAAAGACACACCTGGCAATATGGCGGTAAACACACGCCTGCCCACACACGCTCTCTAGGCTGCAAAGTTCTGGCACAGAGCTCTCCTTCTCACCACCACCACCATCAGTTCGCGCCTGGCGCCTGGTCGATGCATGGCTGGCGGTATCCGGCATAGCAGGCTGGTACATCAAGTAGCGCATGGCACATAGATGATGACACAGCAACGACATAGCTCGATTGCGACGTACGTTTCGTCCCCGCTGGACTCATCAGGCAATCTTCTTCTTGGATGTCTTCATACGGAGCTTGACTCGGGAGAATGAAATTGAAGACACCACTGCAGCTGTACTTATGGTTGATAAATATGGTGGTAAAGACACACCTGGCAATATGGCGGTAAACACACGCCTGCCCACACATGCTCTCTAGGCTGCAAAGTTCTGGCACAGAGCTCTCCTTCTCACCACCACCACCATCAGTTCGCGCCTGGCGCCTGGTCGATGCATGGCTGGCGGTATCCGGCATAGCAGGCTGGTACATCAAGTAGCGCATGGCACATAGATGATGACACAGCAACGACATAGCTCGATTGCGACGTACGTTTCGTCCCCGCTGGACTCATCAGGCAATCTTCTTCTTGGATGTCTTCATACGGAGCTTGACTCGGGAGAATGAAATTGAAGACACCACTGCAGCTGTACTTATGGTTGATAAATATGGTGGTAAAGACACACCTGGCAATATGGCGGTAAACACACGCCTGCCCACACACGCTCTCTAGGCTGCAAAGTTCTGTCACAGAGCTCTCCTTCTCACCACCCCCACCATCAGTTCGCGCCTGGCGCCTGGTCGATGCATGGCTGGCGGTATCCGGCATAGCAGGCTGGTACATCAAGTAGCGCATGGCACATAGATGATGACACAGCAACGACATAGCTCGATTGCGACGTACGTTTCGTCCCCGCTGGACTCATCAGGCTATCTTCTTCTTGGATGTCTTCATACGGAGCTTGACTCGGGAGAATGAAATTGAAGACACCACTGCAGCTGTACTTATGGTTGATAAATATGGTGGTAAAGACACACCTGGCAATATGGCGGTAAACACACGCCTGCCCACACACGCTCTCTAGGCTGCAAAGTTCTGGCACAGAGCTCTCCTTCTCACCACCACCACCATCAGTTCGCACCTGGCGCCTGGTCGATGCATGGTGGCGGTATCCGGCATAGCAGGCTGGTACATCAAGTAGCGCATTGCACATAGATGATGACACAGCAACGACATAGCTCGATTGCGACGTACGTTTCGTCCCCGCTGGACTCATCAGGCAATCTTCTTCTTGGATGTCTTCATACGGAGCTTGACTCGGGAGAATGAAATTGAAGACACCACTGCAGCTGTACTTATGGTTGATAAATATGGTGGTAAAGACACACCTGGCAATATGGCGGTAAACACACGCCTGCCCACACACGCTCTCTAGGCTGCAAAGTTCTGGCACAGAGCTCTCCTTCTCACCACCACCACCATCAGTTCGCGCCTGGCGCCTGGTCGATGCATGGCTGGCGGTATCCGGCATAGCAGGCTGGTACATCAAGTAGCGCATGGCACATAGATGATGACACAGCAACGACATAGCTTGATTGCGACGTACGTTTCGTCCCCGCTGGACTCATCAGGCAATCTTCTTCTTGGATGTCTTCATACGGAGCTTGACTCGGGAGAATGAAATTGAAGACACCACTGCAGCTGTACTTATGGTTGATAAATATGGTGGTAAAGACACACCTGGCAATATGGCGGTAAACACACGCCTGCCCACACACGCTCTCTAGGCTGCAAAGTTCTGGCACAGAGCTCTCCATCTCACCACCACCACCATCAGTTCGCGCCTGGCGCCTGGTCGATGCATGGCTGGCGGTATCGACCAGGCGCCAGGCGTGAACTGATGGTGGTGGTGGTGAGAAGGAGAGCTCTGTGCCAGAACTTTGCAGCCTAGAGAGCGTGTGTG